TTTTCTTTTCTTTTTATTTTTTTACAAGCGATTCGTATACAAGACGAATGGATCTAAGAAATTGTCGACGTGTTTCTCGATTGTTGTATTACTACTATTTACAAAAAAGACCCGTTAAGGGTTAAGAGGGTAGAACGTGTCTTAGAAGAAGGAACGATGCGATTAAAGATTTCATTAGAATACTCTGATGAACACAGGAATACTCGATTCCACATTTTACATTCTTACACGTTAATTACGTTTAATAAATGCGACGAGAATGTTTCTGAGTCTTGTGCTCTATACACATAATATATATTTTCTTTTCATACGTACACGACCACAAGAGCTCTAATTCCTTCATTTTTTTCTTTTTTCTTCTTTCTCTTTAAGAAAAAGCTAGTAATTGGCTCAAACGTGCAACTCGTTATTGCTTGATATTCTAATGTACCCTACCGCCTAAATGCTGTATACTTCTGTAAAAATCCTAGGATCTAGGGATAATATATCAATCCTAGGCTGTTTTAGAAAAAAAAAAAAACTGCCTCGTTACTTTAATCTGTACAATTCTCTTATTTATAATATTTATAATAAAACTGATCAGAAACCGAGATATCTTTTTTAATTAAATGTTCAAATGCACGTAATTAACACTAGGAACAACCAAATCTATCAATATGACAGATTTTAGATCCTATTTCTTTGCAATTGCTTAAATAGTTATTTTTGTTAAAAGTAATATTGATTTCCGTTTAGACAGCTGACATAATTGTATAAATCTATTTGTATTAATTACAATCGTAATTATAATGATTTAAATAAATTACTCTACATAAGTTGTAATGATTTATACGTAGAATATTTCGATGCACACTAAAAACTGGTTGTTCCACTGTTAAAAAACGTTGGCAATCCTCTCGTCGAGATTGAAAACCGCGTTTCGTCACGAAAGAGGTCGTTCGACTTGTAGAAAAATCGTCGTTCGTATCCCCGTGACGAATAGAACAATGTCTTCTGTTTCTTATTCGATACTAAACACACTGTTTACAACGGCGCGTTTGAACGGTGTGGATTGGAGAGATTTAGACACGTATCTTTTCCTTCGTTTTCATTCTCTTCGTTCATTTTCACTAGAGCAGAGTGATCCAGAGTTAGATTAACGACTCAGTGCCTGACATCAGCTTCGTCGGCTGTTTGATTTTCGAGGGTGCACGGCCTTAGAAATTCTTGTCCTCTTTCGTGAAGCCACTTGTTTGCCACTGAAAGAAATATCGCGTCGCATGTTTATACGTATTTTTTTTTTTTTTTTTAATGCAATTTACTTATCGGTAATTATTGGTAATCTACGGTCTTATGGCTGATAATTAGGTTAGTTGATGGTTGGCATACCCCATTTAGAACCGGTAAGAACAGGACAAGCCGCGTGCCTGGTTTTGAAATCTCCCTCGCCGTTTGGTTTCAGATTATACCAGAAGGCAGCGCTGCCTTTCTTCGGCCATAGCGAGATGTTGATTGCGGTGAAAACTGTGCCACCACCTTGTTCCACGTCGCTCATCTGAAACAGTTGATTAATAATATTGTATATTATTACATATACCATTACTATATAATGTTACTTGATAACACAGTATCTAAAACTAGATACATACGTAATATAAAACCGTGGCAATGCGATTTCCTGTTCCCAGACTTTTGAACGCGTTTGTTTCTTCTTTCTAGATACGAGCAATCGAATTGTTCGGTTAATTATTCCCGCGTGATTTGATTTATCATATATGAAATTAGCTCAAAATTCCTACTCACCCGCGCGAAATCAAAATGTGGCTCGTAATGACCACCGATACCATAATTAACTACTTGCAATTCTTCAGCCGTATCGACGGTCATACTCGTCATGTGTTCGACACGCCTGCTCACAGCCGCCACGTGTTTATGCTCGTGTTCCTGAAGCCACGCGCTCTTACTAATCCTATAATTCGCTATCTCTAAGGCACCAGTTTTATAGTTCTGCACCGTGGCACGTTTGAACTGTAATATTGAAAAAGAAAAAAAGAAAAAAAAAAAAAAAAAAGAAAAGAAGAAATAATTAATACCATCGTATTTCACATAGAAGTATATAAAAATTTATCGAACTTACCCGAGGCTGTGCCATTCTTTTAATCGTCTCGATCTCCTCGTCGTATATCACGTTATGATAAACGACTATTCTCGGGTCCAGATAGGCCTCCTCTTCCTTGAATGGCGCAATCTTCAGAAATGGGATTCCACGATCCACGTAACGGCACTTGAGGTTCTTCTGCACTTCCGGGGTGATCGATACCTCTCCGCGGCACAGCATCTCGTAGCGTTCCCTTTCCGTCATTTCCTCCCAGGTTTTCACTTTCTCTTCCGCGACAGTGAAATGCTGGGAAATAAGGGCGAACGACAATTTGACTATCGAGATCGAATTTGCAACAGGCATATAATTCATGATGTAATGATAGCCGACTTTGTAATTCATTAGAGAGCAAATAATTCTGATTTCTTATTATCTTACTTGAGCAGGTACAGCAGTGTCGTCTTGGCCATCCTCGCCGCGTTTCTTTTTCGACTGGTTAGCTTTGCTCTGGATTTCCTTTTGATAGTAAGCTCGATTGCCCAGAGCACGTTCGTGGGTCGGTACCAGCTCCAGCAGCTCGTTCGTCATACTTAAAGCACGCGCCACATTCCCTACGCACAATGAATTTATAGTAGTAATAACAATTCATAAATATCATGGATACTTGTATAATACTGTACAACAAATTGTGGCCTTCTGATAAATTGTACAGTAATTTGATCCACGTTATTCCAAATTATTCCAAATCATTTCAAAGTTCATAGAAGAAAGTCGAGAGAACAAAATCTCGTTTTCCAGAAAAGCATACTTGAGAATTAGAAAAAATAGTTCGCGTGTATTTAGCTAATAACGCTGTTCTGACTGTTTTTTACAAAAAATACAATGTCAGACACTCAGTTTGCTATCAATAGAAAATTCTTAACGCGTTCGTTATTTTGTTACTATTGTCCGTATTTGACTTATTTGTTTTATGAATTTCCATTTTTACCATTCTACACTAGGGTGTAACACATACTCGTTCTCTTTTCTTTCGTCTACAAAATAAACACACATACACACAAAAGAATCTATGTTACTACCCGATAGAGCAACAAACAAGAAAAAGACGTGAAAGTTTCATTTTTTGATCAATGAGGTTGAAAATTATTATCGCGAGAAAGTGCACGTACGTAAAAGCACAGATTAAAATTGACCCCTGCCCTATCCTGTTCAAAGATCATCTACGAGCCAATTGAGCGTTAAATTCTTCCGTAAAGCCGGCGTTGAAGTCTCACGTAATTTAACGAACCGTCGTTACCCGGTTAGTTCGGCGATTTCACGGTAGAAAGGATTAATGCCGGGAAATTTCAAATACCCACGGCGAATAATATATCCGGGCGAAGTTTTAACGAAGCTTTAAACAAACTAGCCGGCTGGAAGCTGGCCATTCGGCGCGACGGGGAATTTTAACGTCAATTAAATTCTCTTTCCGGCTTCTTTCAAATGGCCTTTTCCCGCGGCCGCTGTTTGACATTGATTTCACGGGCATTAAACCCGCCCTCCGGCGGACTTGGAACGAAAACGAGCACGCTTATTGACACGAGGGGCTTACTGCCCCTCTTCGTTCGCTCGTTACCGATCTTTCCCCATATTTCGAGCAACTGTGATGAATTCTACGATTCGTTTAACTCTATCTTGAAATTCGTCACTTTCAGCAAACGAATATCTCGTATGTATTCGATGACTATGTAAATACCTGACGATTTCTAATCAGGCATATTTATTAGTTTATCATTCAAGCATTCAGGCTCACTTTATCGTTTTCTCGATTTATCGCGCCCCAGAGATCGAAATCCTTCGATTTCTACAATTTCGACGTGCATCGAAATGATAGTTAGATGCACGAAGTCAGCGAGTGCAGTTTAATGCAGTTAAATTACTCCAGTGAAAGTTGCAGCGAAAGACGCGAGGGAAACAGAGGAAAAGTGCAAGGGTAATAAATTTGAACGAGTGCTGAAATAAATTAAAAAAAATTAACAATTAAAAAAGAGAAATCAGCAGATAAAGAATATATATCTGTTCAATCTCCTTTATTACCATTATCACTAATTACTATGCTGCGCATTTCATTTGTCGAGTTTAGACATCGAGATGCGATTTGAGGGAAGTTGAGGCAAAATTGCAGGAACAAAACGGGTGGGCGGTCCGCAACGTGGCGGATACACGTGTAATTTAGTTCCTAATTTACAACGCGCGACTTTTATGAGCTGGCAATAATTTTTCTCCCGGTTCTCTGCTCGCAAATCTTTCGTCACGCCCCGGCTGAAAACCGCGTGCAATTGTTACTTTAATTTGCTGGATGAACGTTAAACGGCCAGGCTTATTCCTCAAATTTTCGTTTCAAACCGACTGTGTAATGTTCTCCTTCGTTACGTCATAGTAATTTTATTACTGAGAATTTAAAAGAGTTAAAGTCCGACGAAATTTCTCTGGTGCGTGTGTTTTTTCATTTTTTTTCTGCTGAAGTTTAAGATAATCCGAATAATCGAAATGACCAAATTTCCAGAAATTTTACAAGAGAAGAGAGAGATATATATGTATTTAAATGTATTTGTTTCTCAAAGAAACTTCTACGGTAACCAGTTCTTTTTTTTTTACAAACCAGTTTTTGTATTTTTTTCTTTTCTTTTTTGGCCCATTTGAAATTTATCTTTCTTTTGATGTTTGATCATGTGACTGATTTGTTTCGATCTCTTTGGTACAAGTTGCTCGGTAATTCTAGTGTTAATCAGGAATAGTAATGAAACGGTTTTCGTGAGGGTGTATACCTTGCATGTAAGTTGAGAACGCCAAATATTCTAATATGTCTGGCTTCGAGGTAGTGGTGGCGTTTTGTTCCTCCTGAAGACGGTCCATGGCTTCTTGCATCCAAAGGACGGTGTGATAGTAATCACGATTGTGATAAGATTGTCTCCCAAGTTCGAAACAATCGCTGGCTGCAAGAAGGAGAACAGATTAGAATTAATTAAACTTTCCTTGTATTTTTCTTCGATCTTCAGATCCTTTCTTCTGAAAACTTCTCGACAGATTTCGAAACAATGTTTTCATGTCTTCCGTTTTAAGCGATTAAAAAATTACTACCGAAGAAACAAATCAACCTTTTTCCCGAGAAAGTGTAGACTCAGACTTTTCTGCGAAGAACTTCGCCACCGAGTTTCATAGTAATAATTTCCTGGCCAAAACACACAAATTCCGTTTCATTAAAAAAGATTGCAACAAAAATATAAAATATTTTGTGAAAGCATCGGTTGATTTTGGCGTGTATATCGCGATCAATTAATTACAAACTTCGACTCAGAATGAAATTCACACTGCACGTGTATCGAATTTGCACCGATCCATTTTATATATGCGATACGTTTTTTTTTTTTTTTTAATAAAGCGTTTGTTACACGATATTTCAATGTTCAGCCTTTATTTCGCTGGCCATCAAAGTTCATACGAAAAAAAACCACTGGTTAGCGTACAAATCAAGAAACGCGCGTATTCATCAACGTTTCTCAATCTCACGATGAGAATTTTCAAGTGGCATTATTCCAAAAAAGAAATAGGAAAAAAAAAAGAAACAACACTCTGATGAACGGAAGGAAAGGAAATTTATTCCCACGATTTCGACTTATTTCTGCCCCCGGACCCGAAGTCATTCCGTTCCTTGATTGTCTCGGAGACTCCGAGCTCAACCTTGTATAATTCATGACTCTATTATCATAATTACATTCGTAATAACAGC